GATCTACTTTGTTTTGTTATTTTTTGAAATTATATTTGAGTATCTTTAGAGACCGGATAGTTCCAACATTACATAAATTGTTTCAGAGCAAACAACAGAAAACTTTCACATCTTTCTAAAAAAGAAGGTATAATATTGATACTTAAGTCCGTAAAGATAGCATAAAAAGAAAAAATTATAGGCCAGCAACACTTAGGAATATTGATGGAAAAATTCTGGCATAAATAAAATGTCAGCAAATAAACTCTAACATCATATTAAGAAAATACTTCACCATGACTATGTAGGTTTTATGCCAGAAATGTATGGATGGCTGGCTGTGAGAAAATATGTTAACGACACTCACCTTATTAATAGATTTAAGGAGAAAGATCATATGCTATCTCCATAGATGGCTAAAAAAAGCCTTTGATAAATTCAACCATTCCTCATACAAATACTTGAGAAAATTGAACTGATGAATACTTCTTTTACATTATAAATTATATAAAGGGTCTGGCACAAATAACGCCCTTTTTTATGAGCTGATAACCTATACCAAATCTTTTATTACAAAATCATAAGCATGTAATTCTGTAACATAACAATATCATACTCAAGCACACCCTATGACATTATAGGTGGAATGTTCAAATTGCTGTCCATCTGGTGTGAGACCACCATATACCCTACCAACCTCATTCAAAGGAGTTATTTCTGTTGGGCCCTGTACTAAAAAAGCTAGGATTTTACTTAATGCAGTAATACAAAAGGCATTCCCACAAAGGTCAGAACGAGATAAAGATGTTCTCTATCTCTAATGTAACTTTATGAGTGCCATTATTAGCCAATGCCATTAGGTAAAAAGCAATTATGAGCATAACAATTAGAAAAGAAAAATTAAAACTATCTATTTGAAGATAAGAATACATAAAATTCTCAGAGAACAACTTATAAAACAAACTCAAACAAAAATAAGTTAGTGAGATAGCAGGATATAAAATTAATATGCAAAACCTAAAACCTTCAGATAAATTATAACGTTAGAAAGTAAAACGGAAGAGAGAAATCCATTTCCAATGGCAACAAGAAAAGATAAAATACTTAAGAATATACTTCAGAAATGTGAAGTCTGTTTGAAGGAAACTATAAAACTACTGGAAAACCCCGAAAGCGTGCTTGAGCAAATGGAAAGACAACCCATTCTTGAGTACGCTGTTTCACCATTAAGCAGTCCGTTCTCCCTCTGTTAATTAAGACATTCAAAACAATCTCAATTAAAAAAATTGCACCAGGATATTTTTTTTCTGGAATATGAAAATGTGAACTTAAAGTTTGATCTCAAGCCAGTTTGTCAACTTGGAACAAACCCAGGACTTAAAAAACAAGGCTATAATGCTGGCATTTCTCTACGAAACAAACCTACCACCTACCACTGAGCCAGCCCTACTCACCTTGAGCTAATTAGTTGCATATAGAAGGACTTCAGGTCGCTCAATCATCATTTCCAAAGCAGCTGTCAACCTCAATTTGCATGTGACATTTTACATGTGGATATGTTGCAACTTAATTAAAAATAAAATTGTTTAGGCAGAATAAAATACACCTTGCAGGTCATATCTAGCCCACAAGCTGTCAGGCTTTGACATTTTGGAGTCTAACAAACTTTTTCTGTAAAGGGTCAGTAATATTTTAGGCTTTTGCAGGCCACATATAGCCTATGTTGCAATATTCCTGTTTATTTTTACATCATTAAAAAAAAAAAAGACATTCTTAGCTCAAGGGCTATAAAATCAAGCCTTGAATTTGGCTGTGAAGGTGGTAGCTTGACAATCTTGGTAAATAGAAATTAGCTTTGAGATTCAAAGAGTCCTTCCAAAGATGTTACCTGACCTCTAGCTCTCACAAATAAATTAAAAAAAAAAAAAGATGGGATAAGTATAATATATATAAATTCACTAGCAATTGGCCATTTCATAACGCTGTATGTTTTCTTCCTGCTACATATCCAGGAGCATATCCTGAAAGGGAGTTTATGCGGAATTTTAAGATACCACCCGACTATCTGTAACTGCTCTTACCAAATAATGCCATATTCACTGAAAACTGTTTTCTGTTTTATTCCAGTCATGTTTTCAAGACAGTGTTATCAGCTTTACAATTTAGACTTTTCTGCTCAAGATTAGGGTGTTTCTGGGTTCTTGGCTGCCAGATCTACTCACTTCCTGGTCTAATCCCTAAAAGGGAATGTGTTTGATAAAGTTAAGGATAACAGCGTCTATTTCTGAGACAGGCCAAGAACTTTGTAATCCCATTAGACTAATGATGTGGCAACAGCAGACGGAAAAGTCATTCCGATTCATCCTTATGAATCGCTTTGGTCCTGGCCCAGCCTCAGAAGGGACGTTGCAGTGATTTGATCTGGCCTTGAACAATTGTAAAACTAGCTGGGAAACGTTAAAATCTTTCCTAGAAATCACGTAAAAATAGTATTGTGAGATTTTAAAAATAACTACATGTGAAGGTTGATAAGATGAATATCAGCTCTCAAATACCCTTTAAATTTCCCAATTCATTGAAAAGATACAAGGGGAATCGATCATAACATGATTTACTGAGTCAAACTTGATCCTGGATCACTAGTAGTTTTTGTGGGGTTTTTTTTTTAAGATTTATTTTTTAGAGGGGAAGGAAGAGAGGCAAACACCAATTGGTCGCCTCTTGCATGCCTCCAACTGGGGGCCTGGCCCACAACCGGGGCATGTGCCCCTACCTGGAGTCCACCAGTGACCTTTCAGTTCACAGGCTGGTGCTCAACACACCTAGCCCCACAAGCCAGGGCTGAGTCACTAGTAATTTGACTCTAGGTCTGCCCAAATTGTACTCAAGCTTCAGATAAGTAACAAAACCCAGGACTACTGGTTATCTAGTGCTTGGCTGGACTAATCCCCTGGACTTCTTGGTCCCTATCTCTCATTTCAGGGAAGAGCAAACTCAAAAGCAACTCAAGATTAAGAACAGTGATGCGCTAGAGTAGGCAAGTCAACTAATTGTTAAGTAACAGAGTGAGCCAGCTGTTAAACAGTCATCAATAAAGATTAAATTTTATCAACTTAGAGGAACCATACATATTCTATTAAAAACAATGGCACTAAAACTAAAAACTTACCACTATTTTACATTTTACCTTTACTTTTGCTCTTGAGATTACTTACATTTAATGCATCTGTATGGCAGGAAAAATATATACTGGTGTGCTACTGAGCATCTTTTACCCACTCTGCATTGTCATCACATTGATAATCTGAAATTGGTTGTGGTGCAAGTATTTACACCACACAAACAGGCAAATGCTACTATAAGTAAAGCCCTGTCTCCACTTTTTCATTATTGACTTTAGAGAGAAAGGAAGAGCAAGGGAGGGAGGCGGGCAGAAGGGGGTTGGCGGGGAGGGAATTTGCTGTTTCACTTATTCACGCATTCATTGGTTGATTCTTGTGTGTGCCCTGACTGGGGATGGATCCCACACCTTTGGCGTTAGCAGGATGATGGTCTAACCAACTGAGCTCCCCCAGCGTCCCTACTTTTGAGTCAGTTTAAACATTTCCCAGACAATACTGGTTAGGAGGGTACCACAGCCTCTGCTGAGCTCATGTACAGATCCCATCTCAGTCATTCTCACGCTAGCTCCACAAAATACTCCGTAAAATTAAAAAAAAAACAACTGCTTAAATACTTATGAAATAGAAACTTTTAAGAATCATTAAAAATGGTTTCATTTTTAAACATATGTTCCTTCTCTCTAAACAAGGAAGCATCTTTTCTAATAAATAGCAAACTGGCTCTGAGAAATTTTCGAATTCCCACAATAATGTCTTATGGAAATGCTTATGATGGGTTATAATGTCCTTTGTCTATTACATCAAATACTTTCTCTTGTGAGAAGGGCTGTTGCCCTAGAGGCAACATAAACTGGCCACAAGAGCAAACAAAGATGGACCAGTTGGCTCCCTCTCACCTCCCGGAAGTGGTTAAGTAGGCCCTGAGCTACTCCCGGGAATACAAAGGCCAGATTCACTAACAAATGGCTTGGATGCCATTTGGGTTATTTCAGACATATGGAGCATCTCACTCACTTTTCTTAAAAGAGTACCAAAATTGGACAGTGTAAAGAAAAATTAAGGCATGTGTGTAAAAGGCATTACATACGAGTTTTGATTTTTTTTGTCTTGGGGTGCCTGCAAATAGTCTAAATGCCTAAGCTGAACTGGAAAAAGATACAAAAGACATACATTATTCTTAAACTGCCTTTTAGGTAGTTGAAAAAATAAATCCCCAAACTAGTTGGTGATGTATAGTATACTAACACCACTATATTATGATCATATAAAAAGTGCATGTATCAGGACAAAGGGCATGTGCTTGTTCTTTACACTAGAAAGGCGTCAAAAATTCAAAAGAAAGTAGCTTGCATGTCTGAGGAATTGCTACCTAAATTTGAGAAACAGCAACTTTCTCTTTTTTTCCCTGTGGGATATTTGTAAATATGATGCAGTATACGAGAATTAATCACACACATTTTTCGCTAAATACTGAGAAATACTAAAGCAGCTACTAGGGTTTTAAAGGTTATTTCCAAGCATTTACATGTGAGTGCATGTCTATGTATAATAGAGCCTTCAAAGGTACCCTTAGTTCTTAATATTTAATATTTGAATGAAACTAAAAAATGTTGTCAAGTCTTGATGGCTCTGGTCTCTAAGAAGTGATCTCTAACCCTACCTGAGGTAGATGGCTTTACTTGGATACCCTCCTTGGATAAGCTCTGCGGGAATACGGCTATCATCCTGCTTTCCATCAAATGAAAAGTGCGAAAAACATCTACACCGTATACTTTATTTACAATGAATAAAATGATAATCACAATGACAGCTAAATGACAATTCTGTACATTTGGCTGGATAATATAAAAAAATTTACATATCCACAAGCACATAGATCTTTTACCAACATCAAACATTTTAGTCTATGTAGTCAAAGTCTTCTGGAATTCCAAAAGTTTTATCAATTTTATTTTCTTCGAACCCAAATTTTCTTTTGGCCCAAGATTTTATTGCAAATATGTTATCTATAAAGAAAAGAAGAAATATTTTTGAGAATTCAAAACACCATTATAAAACATTTCACATATAATACACCCATTGTTTTTACTTTCAGAAACATCAAAGGAGGTTTCTGTATGTTCATGAGTAATGGCATAATGACAATTAATTTCAAAAGAAAATACTTCATGAATATTTTGAAAAAACAGATCTCATATTTAAAATTCCAGTAAATGAGGTGCCACTGAAGAATGACTGGCTTGAGAACCGTCCAAGGACGGGGACAAGCTAACGGTGCCCCCACGGCCCCACAGCGGAGGCCCGGACTCCGCCACCTCAGGAAGTAGGGCTGCTCTGGCTCCCAGAGGGGACACGTCCTTTCCAGGCCCTCCCCCCTCCCTGGCAGAGGGGAATGGCTTCCAGACAATCAGGCCAGTGTGAGGGACAGGGGTCAGGAGGGGAGAAAGGGCTTCCCCTCTCCAAAGACTGTAAGATGGGAACAGATGTATCCTCAGTATCCTCCAGGGCAAATTTAAAATGCATTTTACCACCGAAAAACTGTTCTATCTACTTCAGGAATTTGTCCCAGGGAAATAAAAGAAACTGTGTACAAGGATGTAGGGTCAAATCTTCATCTAAGTGTAATAAAAGAAAAAAATAACAGCCGCTTCACTGTCTGACCGCCTGGAGGGCACCTCTGCACAGGCAATACCCGCACGCTCACGCGGCTGCACCTGGGCAGTGGGGACGGCGGTGAGTTTCCTTTCTTACATTTTACGGGTTTCCTTTCATGTACTTATATCACCTTTATAATGAACAGGCATTATAAATATAAAAAATAATGGTATAAAGTCTGGTTCAGAGTATTCTATAAATACTAGTGACATGAAGTAAAAGGGTTAAAATAGGTTTTCTTGGAGTGTTAAGGGCTGAAGTATGTCGCCTCCTCCAAATTCGTATGTTGTAGTCCTAACCCTCAGCACCTCAGAATATGACCATATTTGCAAACTTGACCTCTTTTTTCCTTCACTTTCACTCATTTTTTTTTCAAATCAATGCAGTGAAAGACACATTTTGGTGAAGAGGGTCAGATGACCCGTGTGTGCATCGATCTTTAAAGAAGTGATTAAGTTAAAGTGAGCATGCTATGGGAGGCCTAATCCGATCTGACTGGTGTCCTTGTAAGAAAAGGAAAGGTAGACACACTGAGACACTAGGGGTGTGAATAGGAAAGACCATGTAATGACACACAAGAAAGTGGCCAGCTATAAGCTAAGGAGAGAGAGGCCTTAAAAGTAACCAAACTTGCCCTGGCTGGTGTGGTGCAGTGGGTTGGTGTGTCCTCCCATAGACCAATGGGGTCATGGATTTGATCCCCGGTTGGGCCTGTGTGAGAAGGCAACCAAGTTGCTGTTTCTTTCTCACTTTGAGGTTTACCCCCACTCTTCCCCTTCCTCTCTTCTAAAAGCAATGAAAAAATGTCCTCAGGTGAGGATAAAAAAATAAAAAGAAACCAAACTTGCTGACACCTAGATTTTGAACTTCTAGCCTCCAGAATTGTGAGAAAATAAGTATCTTTTGTTTAAGCTACACTCAGTCTGAAGTATTCTGTTATGGTGTCCTAACAAATTTATATTTTGTCTTTGATCACTTTTAAAAATATTGTTTTAAGAAGTTTATTTCCAAGGACACCAGCACACAGACAGGGAATACCAAGTGAGGACACAGTGAGAAAGTGGTCATCTACATGCCAGGAGAGAGGCCTCAGAAGGAACCAACCCTGCCGATACCTTGACCTTTACTTCCAGCCTCCAGGACTGGAGAGAATAAATTTCTGCTGTTTAAGCCATCCCGATGGAGGACTGCAGCAGCAAGCCGATGGCACACCCAACGGGAATAAGTGAAGAGTATAGGTAAGGATAAAAAAACCTACAAGAGATGGTGAAGCAGACTGGGCTATGCGAGAACCAGAAGTTTCTACTTCTAAGGAGACAAGTAGAAGACCCCACTGAAGGAGAGGGCTCCGTTAACAGCCCCGGGGCTGAGGAACAGCTATCTTGGAGCCCCCGCCTGGAGAGGAAGCGCTCCAGGATATGACCCACACAGATGAAGGAGTAGATCTAAGAAGGGCCTGCAATCTAGATTGCTCTACCTAGCAAAGCTATCGTTTAGAATGGAAGAGCAAAGTGCTTCCCACTCCAGGTAAAGCTAAAGGAGTACATTATCTCCAAGCCATTACTACATGAAATGTTAAAGGGACTTATTTAAGAAAAAGATCAAAACCATGAACATTAAAAAGGCAACAAATGTACAACCATCAACAACTAATCTAAAAAACAAAACACAACAAAACAAACTAAGCAAACAACAGGAACATAATCATAGGTATGGAGAGCATTGGAGTGTTACCAGTGGGTGGGGGGAGAGGGGAGAATGGGGGAAAAGGCGCAGGGATTAAGAGGCATATGGTGGGTGCAAAATAGACAGGGGGATGTTAAGAACAGTATAGGAAATGGAGAAGCCAAAGAACTGACATGCGTGACCCATGGATGTGATCTGAGGTGGGGGGGATTCCTGGAGGAAAGGGCCACTGGGCGGGGGTGGGGAGAGGGAAAAAAATGGGACAACTGTAATAGCACAATCCATAAAACATACTTAAAAAAAAGACATGAGATGTAGGAAGTGGGATATCAGGTAATCTGGCGTAGGGGAGAGGCAAGCAATCCCAGGGTGGCGGTGAAAGGAAATGCTAGGACACAGCTGTGTGCCAGCCACAGGGGACAAGAAGACCAGACGGGACAAAACAGGAACTATTTTTTCAAGAGGATGGAGCAAAATGATGAACAACTGGTATGTCTGAACATATGAAGATATTCATACATCCAGTGGAGTTTTGTGTTGAATTAGCAATAAGTACATGGAAACGTATGCCTTATAGGGTAAGAATAATATATTTGGCTGTGTACAGCATTACATAATCTTAGTAATGTAAACATTCCCCATCACAGTCAATAGTGTAAACAATGAATTATAATAATGGTGCTGGGGGAAAAGGAGGAAGGAAAGAAATATGTAATGGTTGGGAAGCAGAATAGCGAAGCTTTACCTTAAAAATTAAAGAACTGCCTAAAATTGAAAAATCGAGCAAAAGCAATAAATGAATGCTATTTGGGGATATGGTTAAATAACAACAACAAAAAAATCAACTGAAAGAGTTGAAAGAGCTTGGTACTTAATACAGGAAACGGGAAGAGGTCAAGGTAGTGGGTTTTTAGAAAAAAAATTGTAGATTTATTTCACTCTTTAAACTATGTGTGTAACTTTGACTAAGAAAGAGAAAAACAAAAACACAAAATCTAGCACAATATCTGGCTCATAAAAATTCAACATTAATCATTTTATTATTATAATGACAACACAGGTGACAGTTTTTCATATCACCATTATATCCATGCTAGGGACAAAAATGCTTCCTCTTCCATAAACCCTACTTGATCCATTTAAAACACATTATTTGCTGTGCTCAGAATATCTGGGCATGCTTAATAAAATAAAAAAGTATAAGACAAACAAACAAACAAAAAAGTTTAATTCTAGGCATCAAATAATGATTAAATATCTGAATTGAAATTAATTTCTAAGGTGACTAAACACATCAAATAGAACAATGTTAAAAAAAAAACCCTCATTTCTTTCAATTAGTGTTATAGAATATCAACAGATATTAAAATTTTACTTTTTAAAAATAACCTAAAACAAATTTTACCTTTTATAAGGACCTAAGAGAGAACACTAAATATCAATAGTATAAGGTACTCCAGAATGATGTGTAGGCTCACTACTGTCTGCAGAGCCAGATATATACAGAGGGCTAGAGGAGACAGGTAACGGGGGAGAAGAAGGGGAAGGGTCGTCAAGGAACATGAATAAAGGACCCATGAACTAGGCCAAAGCGGGGAAGGACTGAGGGTGGGAGGTGGAGGTGGCTGGGGCAGGGAAAAGTGGTGGTGAGAAAATGGAGACAAATGTATGTGAACAATAAAAAGAAAGAAAAAAAAATAAGATAGGTATTAAGTGTGTTATAGGTATTCCAGAACATAAAGAACCTATGTCTTCCAGTGGAAGCAAGAGAGACAGAAGAGTCAATTTACTACTAAACAACTTCAAAGTGATACACATGTTAGAAAGAAAAGATCAGGTGTTATGTGGACTGCTTTCTGAACAAGGCTCCGAGAGTACAGAATGATTTCCAGGAAATGAAAGAACTGATACAAGTTTGGAAGTAGGAAGTGTGGAGAAATGGACTTCAAATCTGGTCAGGAGAGAAGAAAATGGAACAGCACAGTAAGACGATAGCCTTTACAGGAAGGAGTTCCTGACCCATATGAGGGCAAGAAACCATTTTATTATAACCTTCTAAGATTAAAAACAAACAAAAGCACAAATAAAAGACAACAGTGCTTAATGTACCAATAAAAAAGGCTCGATCAAACAAGTCCTTGAGCAACTGGGTGCCTGTCTTCAAGACACTGTTATCCGCCATCTTGACAGTTCATTCCCTGTCAAATAATTTCCATATTTGGTGGAAATTTTTATAACTGGATAAAAAGAGTGTTTAAAAAAATAAAGAAACAGCCTCATGAACTGGTAGAATCCCTGCTGATATGGTGGCATGCCCAAGAGAGACACAGGAATGGGATAAGCAATATCACGTGCACGAGTCTATCTCAGCCCCTCACCACCTGTATCCTCCTCACTCAGTAAGATGTCTCTCACACAAAGTCACAAAAACTCCCCTACCTCTATTAAGTACGGTGTTAGATGATGTAATTTGTTTAAATTACATTTAAAGTGTATTTACTGTCACAAAACATATAAATGCAGCATTTCTAGTTATATTTGTACCTTGAGGTGACTGCTCATTTTATAAAACTGAATTACTGAACAGTAAGTATTCTCAATTCTATATACAGAGTGGGGCAAAAGTAGGTTTACAGTTGTTTATATGAAAAATAATACAATAAATAATAAATAATACAAGAATATACTACTTCAAGTACTCACAACTATAAACCTACCTTTGCCCCACCCTGTACATGTTAGGGAATTTTTAAGTAAAAAGAAACCAAACCTTAACTAATAATTACATAATAATATTTAGTTGTGTCATTGATATTTTCTGGTTGTTTTGAAGACTGAGAGGTTTTCTGAGGTGTAATTGTTTTAACTCCATGATCTTTCCGTAACACTTTTATGTTGGGAGGAGCAAGTTAAAGCCTCAAATGGAAATATAGTTCTTAACAGCTGTTCCCGCCATTCTAAAAATACCTTCCTTCCTACATGATTTTAAAAGTTCTAGGTTCTTTCTTGGCTAATAACATGGACGGGGGCTGGAGGGGAGTTGTTCAAAAAATTTTTTTAAATTATAGTTTTGGAAGTTGATGAACAACTGGAAAATGAGCATGTTTTAAGAGGAGAAAGGGAAAAGGGGAGTATTTATCTATGTGTCTAACATTGTGCCAAATGGCTTAGCATCATTTAACCCTCCCAAGAGGTCAGGTATGTATCATCCACATCGAACAGACAGGGAAGCAGGTTCCCAGCTCAGTAAGTCACAGGGCCAGTAAGGAAAACAGCCTGGACCCCTTTCACAGCAAGTTCTTCTCACCATATACATACACAGGCTGCCTGTTCCTACTGTTTGCTGAGCTGCTTTGCTGAGGACTATTGGGAGAAATCACTTTGTGACTATCTATTTTAACCTAAAAATTCACTTGATATTTTTTCAAACCCATGTGATAGGACTGTATTTATTATTTAGACTTTATTGGGCACATAATTCAATATTCTCTTTTATTTCATGTTAGTTTGCTGTTTTACCCTTCTCTGTTCTTACCACTAAAGCATTACATTATTTAGGAAATGACATCATAATAAATAAAATGGCAATTTTATCGGAACCAAAGGCCAATTACATTGATTTTATCGATCTACTTAATTCTAAAATAGACAAGGAAAAAGGATTTTAAAACTATTTGAGAAATACATAGGCCTGAGCATAGCGTCGGGGGAACCTGGCTAAAATCTTTCTTCCAGCGACTGATTTAATCACTTTTGACTTACGGCCGTCCCTTTAAGCTTTCTGATCTCTGCATTAATGCAATCTTACCCATCCTCCCCCAGAGAAACAGAATGAGGGTGAGTAATACATGTGAAGGCATTATAAACTCTCACTAGGATGAAACAGTTCAATTACCATTATTTTATAATTAAATACTGAAAAATCATCAGACAGGTTTTAACATAATTTTCAGACAGGTTTTAACAAAAATAATCATACTTGTATATAATTCACAGCAATTATTATTTATTAACTTTCTTTTAAACTTTAATACACATAGATAATGCCTTATTGATTCCCATTTCTTAGGATATCTTTGGTGTACACCAGATGTACATCCATTGGCAAATGAATTAATGAGGCGTTTCAGGAAGGCAGGTATATGGAGAAGTCAGTATCAGGCAGAGAGTAAGAACTTGGGCTCAGAATTCAGAAAAGCTGGATTCTAATCCTGTTCCACCACTCAGCACCTGGGTGGCCGCGGGCTTCTGACAGTCTCTGTCTCATCTCTAAAATTAGAGGTAATAATCCTACCCATCTCACAGAATTGTTGTACAGATAAATGAGAATGCACCACAGACACTCTTTATAATGCCTGGTTTATATATAGTCAGCCCTCACCAAATGTTAGCTGTCATTATTAGTAAAAAGACAAATCTTAAGGATTCCATGAAACTCTTAAAAGTTGTATGGAAGGTAAGTGATTAGCCTAAGTGAATTATCTGGGAAAAGTTACACAAAAGTTAAACTGGAAGTAATCACTGCTTTTTCAAAAATACCGTATACTTTACAAAATGACTCATAATAAGATTTAAAAATGTCTTTCTTTGAACAAAACTAGGCACAATAGCGTCTGCATTTCACATCAGAGTAAATGTGAAGTATTTTAGCAGTGCCATTATAATACATACCAGTCCATCTGTTAGCAGCTTCTTTGGCTACTTTATTTGCTTGTCCTGGGGGAAAAAAAAGGAATACATAAGTATATGCACACATAATCATCTTCATCTATCTAGAGATTCTTTTTCTTATATCAACAAGTTTCTACAAATAAAATGGCTATGGAAAAAAGTTCAAAGAGTGATATGTTGTATCTCACAAACCTGCTTAACTTCCCCCCAAAATTTTAGACAGTGTTGGTTACACTCGCCATTAATAGAAAGTCAAAGTGGACACTGTCCTTTTCCCAGATGTCCATCATTATCGTGCTTGCTCCTTTAAGGACAGCATGTAAGTCTGAGGTGTGTTTCACAAACAATTTATAACACCAAAATAAGGTAAAATAACCTAAATTTCATGGTAAGAATTTTAGGGTACTGGGTGGGTGGTGTGGGTGGGTGGGGTGGGGGTGTGTGTGTGTGTGTGTGTCAGAGCACAATACAACTGACCTAAAAAAATTTCAATGGTCATATAGTAGCCTTATAGGAGGACATACTGACTTACATTTAATTATACATATTGCTATTAAATGTGGCTATCTTCCAGGTAAATCTACACAGCACATACAGTGCATGGTCAACTGGAAATAAGTATTATTTATGTGATAGAATTTATTTATTGGAAGGTGATTTACATACCACGAAATTCACCCTATGAAAGTGTATAATTCAGTGTTTTTTAGTACATTCACGTGGCTGTACGATCAGAACTACCTAGTTTCAGAACATTCTCATCGCCCAGAAGGAAAGCCCATGCACACGAGGAGTCCCTCCAGGTAATCCCTCCCCCAGCCCCTGGAGACCACTTATCTCCGTCCCATCTTGATAGATCTGCCTGTCCTGGACATTTCATGGAAGTGAAATCACATAGTATGTGTCTGGCTTCTTTGACCCAGCACCATGTTTTTAAGTTTCATCCATGTTGTAACATGTACCACTACTTTATTCCTTTTTATTGCCAAATAATATTCCATTGTGTGGATAAATCACTTTTTGTTTAGCCATTCACCAAGTGATAAATATTTGGGTTATTATCGCTAATATGAATAATTTAATAATTTTTGTGCCAACATGTTTTCAATTTGGGTGTATATCTAGGAGTGGAATTGTTGGCTCAAATGGTAACTATATGTATAACATTTCTGGGAACAGATAAATTGTTTTTAGAAGTGGCTGCTTTATTTACCAATCCCCCCACCCCAGCGATCTAAGAGTTCCAATTTCTTCACATCCTCACCAACAATTATTTTCCGTTCTTTTTATTACAGCCATTCTAATGGGTGTGAAGTGGTATCTCATTGTGGTTTTCATTTGCATTTCCCTGTTGACTAATGATGTTGAGCTTCTTTTCATGTGCTTATTGGACAACTGTATATTTTTGCGGGGAAAATGTCTATTCAAATCCCTTGAGCATGTTTAAATTGAGTTGTTTTTTAATTGTTGAATTGTGAGGGGGGGAGGGGTGTGAGTGTGTGCCCGTGTTTTGCCCTGGCTGGTGGGGCTCAGTGGCTGGAGCGATGGCCTGTGAATGTAAAGGTCACCAGAATGATTCCTGGTCGGGGCACAGGCCTGGGCTGCAGGCTGGGTTCCCCGTTGGGGGCCTGCAAGAGGCCACCTTCTTTCACACACGAATGTTTCTCTCCCTCTCTTTCTCCCTGCCTTCTTCACTCTCTAAAAAAAAAATATATATATATATATATATATATATATATATATATAGAGAGATATATATATATAGATAGGATACTTGTCAGATATAAAATTGGCAAATATTTTCTCCCATTCTGAGGGTTTTCTTCTCACTTGCTTGATAATGTACTCTGACACACAAAAAAGTGGTAAATGTTGATGAAGTCACACTTATCTACATATTTTCATTCCTGGGCTTTTGGTGTCATATCCAAGAAACTGTTTCCTAATCTAAGGATAAGCCTATGTTTTCTCCTAAGCATTTTATAATTTTAGCTCCTAGGTCTTTGATCTGGTTGAGCTACTTTTTAAATATGCTGTGAGGTGAGAGTCCAATTTGATTTATTTGCACTTGGATAAGCATTTCTGCCCAGCACCACTAGTTGAAAACACTATTCATCCTTGATTGAATGGTCTTGGCACCCTTAATGAAAATCAATTAGGTTTACTTCTGAATTCTCAATTCTATTTCATTAACCTACATGTCTATTATTTTACCAATAGTACTCTATCCTGATTACTGCGGCTTTGCAGTAAGTTTTGAAATTGGGAAATTTGAGTCTTCCAACTTTTTTTTTTAAAGATTCTTTTGGCAGTTCTGGGTCCCTTGCATTTCATATGGATTTTAGGTTCAACTCATCATATTCTGAAAAAAGCAATTTTTGATAGGTTTTACATTGAATCTGTAGATCAGCTTGGGGAGTATTTCTACCTTAACAACCTTAAGTCCTCCATCCATGAACACAGGATGTCTTTTTATTCATGAAGATCTTTAATTTCATTCAGTGTTTTGTAGTTTTCAGCATGTCATGAACCTCTTTGATTAATTTTATTCCTTGGTATTTTACTCATTTTGCTGCTATTGTAATGGAATTTTTCATTAATTTCATTTTCAGAATGCTAATTTTTAGCATATAAAATATAAGTGATTCTTGTATATTGATTTTGTAGGCTGCAACTTGCTGACCTCACTTATTAGCACTAACAGCTTTTTTTTTTGTTTGTTTGTTTTTGGTGGATTGTTTAGGGCTATGCTGCAAATAGTGATACTTTTATTTTTCCCTTTTCAACATAGATGCCATTTCTTTCTTTCTTGCCTAATGGCTCTGGCTTGAACTTCCAGTATAATGTTGAATGTAAGTAGTAAGAGTGGACATTCTTGGGAAAGCATATAGCCTTTTACCATTCATTATGATGTTAGCGATGGATTTTTTTGTAGATGTCCTTTTATTAGATCAAGAAAACTACTTTGAGCCCTGGCTGATGTGGCTCAGTAGATAGAGCGCTGGCCTGTGAACCAAAGGGTCGCCAGTTCTATTCCCAGTGTAGGGCACATGCCTGGGTTGTGGGCCATGTCCCCAGCAGGGGGTGGGTGAAAACCAACCACACATTGATGTTTCTTTCCCTCTTTCTCCCTCCCTAAAAATAAATAAATAAAATCTTAAAAAAAAAAACAAACAAAACTATTTTGATTTCTAGTTTCGTTGAGTGTTTTTACTGTGAAAGGGTGTTGGATTTTTTTAAAACACTTTTGTTTGTTGAGACAATCATGTCAAGTCCCGCCACCTTTATTCTATAAATATGTTGCTTGTGATTGATTTTTTATGTTGAACCAACCTTGCATGCCTGGATAAATGTAAGTTAATCAGGGTGCATAATCCTTTTATATACTGCTGGATCTAGTATTTTTGTTGAGAATTCTTACATTTATATTCATAAGCAGTATTTATCTATAGTTTTCTTTCCATATAATGTATTTGTTTGGTTTGGTTATCAAACTAATACTGACTCAAAGAATGAGTTAGGAAGTGTTCTCTCCTTTTCTAATATTTTTGTTGTTATTGTTGAGAAGTTCATTCATCTCTAAACTGGTAGAATTCTGAAGCGTAGATTAGGCTTTTCATTGCAAGAAGTTTTTTTTTTTTAAATTTCTAATTCAATCTCTTTACATGTTAAACATTTATAGTTTACCTCTCCTTGAGACAGTTTTGGTAGTTTGTATCTTTTGAGAAATTTATTAATTTCACTTAGCTTATCAAATTTATTGACTTAAAACTGCTCATAGCATTCCCTTATACTTTTTATTTCTGTAAGGTCAACAATAATATTCCCTCTTTCATTCCTGATTTTAGTAATTTGAATCATCCTTTTTCCTTGGTCAGTCTAGCTAAAGGTTTTTCAATTTTGTTGATCTGCTCGAACAACCAACTTCTAGTTTTGTTGATTTTCTCATTTTTGAATTCTCTATTACTCTTACTTCTGCTCTATTCATTATATTTCTTTCCTTCTGCTTGCTTTAGGTTTAGTTTGCTCTTCTTTTTCCAGTTTGTTTTTTTTTAAAAAGATTTTATTCATTTATTTTTAGAGAGAGTGGCAAGGAGGGAGAAAGAGAGGGAGAGAAACAACGTGAAAGAGAAACATTGATCGATTGCCTTCTGTACGTACCTTGGCTGGGGACCAAACCCACAACCCAGGCATGCACTACAACCTAGAATCAAACCAGCAACCTTTTGGCTTTATGGGATGATACCCAACCAACTGGGCCATACAGCAGGGCTTTTTCCAGTTTCTTTGGTGGAAGACTAGGTGATTGATTCAAGGGTTTTCCCTAGGTATTAAAATGTTAATAAATTTCGAAAAAGAAATATTTGAAAAACAATAGATAAAAGAAAAATAAAATAAGATGTTAATAAATTTCCCACAGAGCAATGTGTTCATTGTATCCCAGTGTGTGTTGGGTCAGGTTTAAACAACCAGGCAATTTACAACTCTGTCTTAGCTTTTACTTCCTGCCTGCAGAATATCAAGTAAGGTTAGCGAGAGGTGGGAGATTAGGAACTTCTCAGGTCTTCCCTGAGAATGTGCACAGACCTAGGCATGCATGTGGCCTTCTGGATTTCCAGGAATATGTTGATATTCAAGGCACCACTGAACATGTCTTCCAGTCTCTCCTTTTTTAAAAAAAAATTTTGTATTCATTGATTTGAGAGAGAAAGAAAGAAACACAGGTTTGTTGTTCTACTTATTTAGGCATTTATTTGTTAATTTTTTGTATGTCCCCTGACCAGGGATCAAACCTTCAACCTTCACGTATCAAGACAAAGCTGCAACCAACTGAGCTACTACGCCGAGGCCTCAGCCTATGCTTTTAAGCTTTTTGGTTAGTCTGTTTGCTATAATTGCTATTCATCACCTAAGACAGACACAAACTTAAAATTCTTGCCTATAATTGTTTTAGACAAACACTCCCCAGGGAGAGGCTGTTAGCAGTGAGTGTACTCCAATTCAAGTCAAATAAAGACAGTCCTTCCTATTGGTGGCTTTCAGGG